TAAAAGTCCATCTTTCTGGACTAAACTGCATTATCAAAAATCCACTTATGCGGTTTTAACGACTCGTAGCCGCCGAACCGCGTCGTAAAATTTTATATAATAGAGATAGTAATGCAGCTATCTGGTTAACAGCTAATGCCGTCACGTACGATACGCGTTGTATATTTTAGCAAAAAGCTTTTTTCGCCTCGCGTTAAATGGTAAAATATAGTTTTGCTAAAAATTCGGAAGCCCCGGTCTTCTATTGCAGGCTCGCTATTTAATAATATTAACATGCTGCAGTAGTGTATATTTTGTAATTTACGATTTCACCTAATGCATAATAGGCGTTGGATTGTATGGGAATTTGTTGCTGGGTTTATGCACTATATTTTTTTAAATTTTATATGAATTTAACTTTTCCGTTACACTTAAGTAGATAAAAGTAAATGACATTTCTTAATCGTTTTAAGTAGGTACCTACGTAACTATTTACAATATTAACGATTTGAACAAGGTACGAAACCAATCCATTATATCTCAACGAACGCGTACTCGATTAAATTAAACAGGAAAGGAAGACAATACTACTACTACTACTACTACTACTTCAGGCGAACCTTGGCCGAGACAGCTCAAGCCAAGGCTCAGGCACTGAGGCCTCTAGCGGGCCCATTGTGCCATTCCTGCTGCTTATGCATCCATGAAGCCGAGTCCCTCGATGAAGGCCTCAGTCCTTTTCAATGGATGCCTATTTGTGTCTCCAGGGGCCATAACAGGGACCCCAAAGGTTCGCCTGCGTAGCACAGCCCACTTCTGACACTCCAGAAGAACATGGTCCGATGTTTCATCAGCCATGCCACAGCCCCTGCAAAGGGGACTTTCCTCTAAACCTAGGTTATAGAGGTGTTTTCTCAGACAACAGTGCCCCGTTAGGAGTCCTGCTATCTTTTTTAACCTACTCCTTGATAGTTCCACAGCTGCCCTAGCATGTCCATCAGTCCAGCCCCTAAGAAGGAGCTTGGATTGCCTAAGACCATGCAGAGCACTCCAATAAGCGAGATGCTGATTTCTCAGCCAAACTCCCGCCTCTTTACGAATCATTTGTTTTGTAAGGCCCAGGGTCGGGCCCGGGCCACTGAAAGGAGTTGCCGTCCCCTCCACAGCCAGCGCATCCGCCCTCTCGTTGCCCTCAAAACCAGAGTGGGCCGGAATCCATTCTAGCCGCACTACATTCCGCCTCGCTAAGTCAGCGAGCCGTCCCCGACATTCAGCAGCGAGCTCAGAGTTGATGGTATACCCACTCAGGGCCCTGATTGCCGCCTGGCTGTCGGTGTATATGGTTATGTGACGGTTCACATAACCTCTGTCTAGGTTCATCTGCGCACATTCCAAGATAGCGTATACCTCAGCCTGATATGCAGATACCCCCTTGCCCAAGGGGACACAAACTTGTGTCTTTGGGTTCCTAGAGTAAATTCCCGCCCCAGCCCCATTACTGGAGCATGAGCCATCTGTGTACCAGACGATCCCATGAGGCTGTGAATTTCCCTCTCTTTCCCAGAATTCTCTATTCCGGATCTTCACCATATAGGGAGTTGAAAAGGAGTACCTGCGCAGGCAAACGTCTGCCGCTCGAGCCAAGACTGGGACATCTCCCAGGAGCCTAAGCTTCTTGACGTGCCTGCACCCTTCCTCACTTCGCACGTATCCCAAACTTTTCAAACGCAGGAGTGCCCTCCCAGCCTCGGCCTCAATCACATAGTGAAGTGGCCGAAGTCCAAGAATCACCTCCATCGCAGCAGTTGGTGTAGTCTTCATGCAGCCAGTTGCTCCCAAACTGACCACCCTTTGAAGGCGTGTCAGTTGCGTTCTAGCCGTGGCCAGGGTTACCCTCGGCCACCAGACCGGAAGGAAGACAATACGTCTATCAGAAATGTTTACACTCTCACTCTGCAGGTGACGTAAGTGTTCATTTGTAAGCTCGGTTGTCCGTTCGGACGCAAACAAGGATCTCATCGTATCAGCCCCATCAAGCATTATACCATCAGGAATTTGCATCTGTATATCGAACTGATGGCGCTGAAATCAATCTTGTTTGCGTAGAAAGGGTTTCATTAGGGTCTACAAGACTCGGAAATCGTCTGTTGGGGTTGGGAAAATGGGTGACTTAACGTCGAAAGCAAGGTAAAAATTATATTGTCAAAATAATTCGCGTAAAATTTACATGACTATTTCGAATGTTTTAATCATAATGATTTAATAATATTAAGAACATTCATTCATTCATTCAAATTTATAAACAGTTTAATTGTAGCATTGAAACGTTGACAGTACAATTAAAGGGAGATTTAAATATAGTCAAAGTTTACAACTAATGAATTTAATTACTAACCCACATATATCAAAAGCTCGGACACCTATCATCAAAACGAAATCGCCAAATTAATTGTCAATTAATTTCGCATTTTATGTTGATTTAATACAAAATTATTTAACAGTTCATTTCGTTAATTATCAATATTTTTAGTGATTATTTCGAATGTACTAACATACATTTCAGAGCATTGAATAAATTAAACTAGAGTTGAAGTTCACTCATTTTGAATTTCATATTGTGGTTATGTGTGAAACGGTGAACTAATTTTAAATGTAAACGTAATTTTTTGTGTGACAGTCGTGATTTTGAAAATTATCCAACTGTTAAATAAATGTGGTCAATGAAAAGGTGCATAGTTACACATAAAGCGGAATTTTTCATGATATTTTAGCGTTCGAAATGAAATATCTATATAAAGTCATTGTCGACGTTTTGGGACATGTTAATTTTTAGAGTAAATTTCAATTCGCGTGAAATTCATTGCACGCGAGAAAAATAATTGATTTTCGACTGTATCGATGGGAATGATTTCAAAGTACCGAGGTATAGGTAATCTCATTGATGCGATAGACCGACTTTCATTAAATAACGACATTAACTGATTAAATTCGTCATTAAAATTTTCACCATTGTATTACTTTTATCTACAATTTAGTGCTTATTTGACTGTTAATTTCGTGGAAATTTGGCAAGTCCAAATTTTACCTTCGTCAAATATTCCATTACTGTTTGTGGATAAATTAAAGATTCAAAATGGGCCCTCCGAATAATCAACTTACATTCCGCTTTAATAATGAATGCGTTTTGTCTCTTGAGAAAACTGAAAATCCCGTGTTTTGTAATTTAGGACCATGCGCTGCGATTGTTTTCGATTAATAAACAGTAGGTATGCATAATGATTTTATAATATCGTTAAAAAATTATTAAATATTGCTAGTATTATACCTAATATTAGTGATGTGATATGGATTAAATGAAAATTGATTGATTAAATCATAAATAATTCTAAAAGCATTACTTTGTACAATAAATTAATGTAGGTACATGGGCTTAAATAACGATCTACTATATTATTAACGGATATACTACAATATACAGGAAAGATAAGAATCACTTTATTACATTAAAATTATCCAAACAACACCATAAATTCCGGTAGAATTATGGCCAGGTCGGAATATTTTCGGCGAGTCTTTCTACATTTAGAACTTCCAAGTCGTAGGTTAGAAACTCAAAAGGAAAGGTCAACTTTAAGAGAAAACTTCCCCGTCGGTCGAGAAAAGTTCTTTTTTATGACAATTGATGTTTCGCCCTTCTTCAAAACTTTTGTCGACTTTATATGTATCAATGCAGCTACTTAACGATCGAGGCTTATCATAAATTTCATTTAATCAGGGAAAGATATGTTTACCGATCGGAGGAACGGTATAATTTATAACGCCGAGCATCGAAAAAGTTTTTTAACGTGTGTGATTGATGTTGGGAAAATAAAAGGCGTGTTTTATTGAAAAAAAAATGTATATATAGGCGGAATTATTAAATTCGTTAGATTAATGACACATTTTATTCCGTACATAAATTATTTAAAAGTTATTTGACATGGTTTTAAATTTATGGCGGAGGATCCTTAGGTAATTTCTGCAATTTAATTAAAATAGATTTAAAAAATAATATTTAATTTTTTACGGCTATATCCCTTTGTAATATCGTTTCCAATATTTATTTCTGTTACATATAGGCAACTTCTGCGATCAAAATATTAGATTTAAACGATAATTTTGAATTTTTACGGCTATAGCCCTTTGTTATATCGTTTAAAATTTATTCTGTGTACATACATACATGCATTGGGGTAAATCTAGCGAATAATAAAATCGGAATTCATCCTACGAATAATATAAAAACGGTTGGCAATTTTCCATAAAATCAATGTAGTACAGAAAAGCTTATATTTATTGCTATAGATTGCTTATAAATTTTGGCTTGAAATAGCGAAAAAAGCGGATCCAAATCGATGATTTCGGCTAGCTGAATAATTCAAGATTCATTTGATTAGGCGACTAACGTGGCATTTTCAGTAGATCCTTAACTGTAGCATCAATATTTTAATGAAAATTTTCAAATGTACAAATAATTCAACATGCTTTCATGGAGACTTTTGGACCTGTCAACCGTTCCAGATTTTGTATCGATGTGTTAATAGGTAATTAATAATTAATATATTCAGTGAAATGTCCTAATTATAGAGGGATAGAAATTATGTATCTATCAAATATTAATTAAATCAAAAAATATACTTCATCCATAAAATATAAAACGTAGATCTAAATTTCCTTAACACTTTTTCCACCTACTCCTTAAAAACTCAACTTCGGAACAGTTACAAATTCACGACAATAAATTAAATTTTTACCCAATAAGAAAACAAACAGCTAAACATTTTTATATTATTTTTTTTCTGTCTAACTGTCCGACAAACGAACGAATTTCCTCCCTATAGGACGGGGCGCGCGAAGTGTAAACGAAAAACTTCCATGCAACATCCCCGAAACTCCCGAAACTCCCGAATACTTCCGAACTCCGCACGACGGCGGAGTTGCAAAACACACATATATATAGGGAATTTATGCCGCACAGAAGGCAGTCGTTCGTTCTGGTCTTCGAGCGGATCGGGCGCTCTTCCGCGGAAACTTCGCCTCTATTCCTGGTGCTGTTTCACTGTGAATAATCATGTATGGTGGTTTGCTGCTGATCCGATTTCTCCCAATCGACCATTAGCTGCTACTTCTAGTATCAGGTTAATTGCTTTTATAATATTTATTGAAACCCTACTTTTTCTCTTACAATTTCTTAGATACTCATTAACTAGACATTTGACGTTGCCACCAAAATTTTAAACGTTTTCACCATATTTTGAATATGATTTATTTATTTGAAAGAAAATTTAAAATTACAAAATTCAAGTTTGGGTGAAATATTCTCCATGCTCGCAATATCTAACAAGTTAATATTCGAGTAATATTATGTGAGGAAAAATCGGTTATATCCAACTCTGAGGTGAAGCGGATACTGGTGGATAACAAACAACAAGCCAAAATTGTGTTTTAGATTAAACACGAGAAAGGTCCTTAAAAGTGATTGCATCTCGAACCCTAGTTTGCCATAAATCTTTTATAGCCGTCCTTTCTTTCAGCGCTCTCAGCATGGGTGAACAAAACAGCATCCAGAAAATAATAAACTGTATGGTAGATTTTTTTTAAACCATACCTTCAACGCTGGGTTTAATTCAATTTATTGTCAGGAACGGTTTAATTTTGGCGCATTTTGCACATCTGGTTAAATCATAATTCATTGCAAAAATTTCCTATTAAAACTTTGAATGGGAAATATTTTATAAAAGAGTTGATCGTATTTAAATAAATATTATGTGTAAAACGAACAACCCGACTTTTTCGTGTGTGTTTTTTGGACTAATTGGAGTTTATCGAATCACTCTGTCAACAAAGCTTTTTTTTTTTAAATTCACAATGATGCCATAAGCCTAATCTCTAAATAAATAAATACCGGAACTAAATTCACTATAATTTGGATACCGGCTGTGTATATCGCTGAGTATCGAAAACATGTTTCCGTTAATAATTTAATACATCAGTGGCGCATTGTTTGTACAAGGAAAATCGTTTTAACAAAAAAATGTAGTAATTTACCAGGGCAAATAGTAATAATCGAGGTATCAGAATTACACCCTTTGGATATCAATCCTTTATGGGTATTGCCTGGTTTTTTTATCAAGCTAATATCAATTATCCAAAATCTAACTTCCTCGCCGATAAATAACCGAAACAGCTCAATTTTTTCACATTACTGTCGCCGTGATAATCGAAGAGATCGTTTGTCTGATGGAATTAACTCCATTAATTTCACCCTTTAGCGCTCCCGTTCCCTCGCTCTAAAATTTTAATACGACACGTGACCTTCGTAATGAGAATGGCTGGGGACCGCAAAGCCAGCAGTCCCTTGCCCCAAATGTATTAGCAACACCAATATTCATATCCAACGCGAAAAAAGAGCCAATACGTCGGCTAATTTATAAATGAAAATGCCGGAAATTTTTCTCACCTTTTCGTTGAGTTCTCACATTCTCCGTCAATAAAGAAATTAACGCTGTATATGCATTTACTTATTCGAAATATCACATTTTTCATGCTGCCTTGATGTATGTTTTCGATTTCGTAATTAATGTTTCAATTATCTATCTACATTTCAAATATTGGTAATTCGCTGTGAGTAATTACTATTGGAGCATAAAATAGGAAATTCTGTAGAGAAATGAGCAATTGTTAATACTCTTGCTTTACCTAGTACCTACATTAGAAATGCCATTAGCTTGTCTAACACAGATATTGTCGACTCAATATGATCATTACAATGGACTCCCACAGAGGTTCACCTTTGGAGAAAAGTTAAGTTCAATACATATCTCCGGTTTGTTCAGAAATGCAGAGTAGGTAATACAAAGCGGAGCTGATTTCGGTCACTCTTGAAATAACCCTCTGCAACGGCAAAGGGAAGTTAATGGTACGATTAAACGGGCATAACGATTTCAGAAATTAGAATTTCTTGATGTTCTTATTATTCGGAGCCGGTAGGTTTCGTTTAACGAGCAAAGATGATAGATGGGAAATTCTCGACTGGCCATTAATTTTCATTTGGGTTGTCTTCGGAATCTTTATTAATGCTTTTTAGTTTTATTGCAACCGTAAATATTAGGTGATTATAAATGACAAAATCGGCCATATTAAGAGCTTGCAAATATTACAAAGTTTAGCAAACTTTGTGAAATAAATCTAAAGCCTCTTATACTGCTATAGAAATATCTCTTCTAAAATCTTTCAAATCCCAATTCGAATGTAACTTACTACACCGATACTGATTATTAATAATCTTAATTGCTCATAGACAAGTCAAATTTGCGCAATTTAAGCATACAAGCTTATAGTTTAGCGAAGCTGCAGGAACGGCTAAAGCTCTTTTGAGAGTTGGGAACAATCAAAATATCGATTGTTAACATTAAATTACAACTACATGGTATTAAATACGATTAACCATGATAATGCAACATAATCCTAATAATTTATCGGGATAAAATGTATTTTTTGCTCATCACGATTCAAACCTGTTGCTACTTCAACAGACTTTTTTTGCATTCTTATAATAAATCTCAGGGAATCGCTGCAAAACAAAAAGTACCAGCCATTAAATTATTTCCCTTAAGTACTGAAAACACTTCAAATAATTTACCGCAAGGATTAAGTCATTGCGACCCGGAAAATCCAAAAACGAAACAATAGGAGTGGAAAGTACACAGTTACAATGCGGTTTTTCATATTCAGATCGTTGCGATGGAAAACGTTTCCCGCGAGAACTGAATTACCAATTCATTGCGAAAGTTTCTGTAACGAGAGAGAGTTAGTTCGTATTCCTGCTGCTAATTTCTTTTTTCTGTGCTCGCGGTGAAAGAATCTAGCGAGGTGGATATTTTTGCGAAAATGGGCACTTTGTAAAATAGCGTGCAGCAGTTCCTACGTTGAAAATAGTTCGAAAGCAGATTGAAAATTTTTATTCCAGCAGGTGGCATGTTAACAGCAGATTTACCGTCATATGTATGTTTCATCAATCGTTATTGCAGCAATTTCGATATTTTACATTGGCAAAGATATTTTTATAAGATAAGTAATAAAATTTAATAAAATAAGAATACCAGGTAGTGAGAAGCACCGGAGAGCAGAGAATTTACAATTAGCAAAGGGGAGCTAAACTTGTAGTTAAATAAGACATTTAGACAAATAGAGCTTTTTAAGAAAACTTCTGGAACATCAGTAAGGAACAAGTTAAGAAATTAACTACCGGCTATGAAAACTTCATTTATTCTGATATGACTATACCGCAAAACTTTTTAAAATGTTGGTACAATTTGGATGCTTGTGAAAAAAAACATCCCCTTCACTTATCACAAACGCCCCATTCGTTACATTTCCCATTAATAATGATAAATAATTCAAACGAATAATTCACTCCAATTGTACATTTTTCGTTTTCCCCGCCGCCACAGGGCGAAAATACACTTAAAAGCCGGATTCCCCGACGACTTCGAGATAATTTATTAAGTGTTGGATTTAATCCACTGAATATTTTATTTTGCGGAACAAACAATTCTCGAATATAATTACTAGTCAGGGTATTTTTCAAACCGAAAGGAATTCGAGAATTTCTGAGCTATTTTGAAAGCGAATAAGCCAGATGCGAATTCGGCGGCAAAATGACCGAAAGAAAATTGTCAGGAAAGTTTTTTAAGAACACGAAAAAGTTCCTCACGGACTGAAAAATGTAAAAGTAAATTAAAAATTGAAAATATTTAAAATTGGAATATTATGTAATATATTCAAGTTGCTCACAATTAGGTGATTCGTGTAATAATTTTGGAATTATTTAGTGGCTAAAGAGCTTCATGAAGAGGCCAATTAATAAGTTTTAAATCTTTTAAACGATACCCGGATTTAGGAAATTCCTTTCTGGAGAATGCCGCAAAAGAAAATGAAGAGAATAAAGGTGAAAAGTTTAAACCGAAAATTAATTAGGAAACATTTTATAAACGCAAATAATGTTTATCTAAAATAATGACTGGGTAAACCCGAGAAATTTTTCTTGACGATTTTACATCGATGTAAAATAAATTGGGCAATTATTTCATTCGAGAAGTGTATTTCTGAAAATTCTAGTGAAGATGGAAACTTTTCGAGCCGGGAAAAGGGACGATTTTCGGCGTTTATATTTCACAGACAATGCCCCTTCGGCCGTTTCTCTCCGTTCTTCGGTCTATTGTGCATAGAAACAAACAAAGCCCAAGGATAATTTTAGTCAGCGAGTCCGCAAAATATTGCAGATGTCGAACAATTCGTTCCTTTTACGGCATTTTAAAAGCCAAGAAATTAGCGAAAATGACCTCACTCACGAAGAGAATGAACAGTTATTTCCGGTAGACCGGAATTTTTCGCAAAAATTTCAACGTAACTCTAGCGTAAAAGATTTTATTCAATTCAATGCGCTTCTATCTCTGGATATACGAAAAATATAGGACTCTTAAATTTAATAAATGTTTTTTTCAAATCGAATGGAATTTTTTTATGAAATTATAAAAGACCGATAAACGAATGCCACGATTTTTGTATTTATTATAGGAAGTTGCATGTAAGTGTAGTAACACAAAATTGCAAATACCATTCGCCCGGAAAATAATTTATCGACACTACACTAAAAATAACTGTTATTGTACCACAAACAATCTAAATCAACCGAAGTCCTCCTCTAAAATTTTATCGTACTCCGCAAAATCCACTTCTCCAACATCCGCATATTTCACTGGATGTAGGTACACAGTAGCGATTCGAGAAAAATTTATTATGTCCCCCCGTTCGCTGCGTTTCTGAACTGTCTCTCCATCTACTTCGATTCCGTACAATGGCAAGCCTGGAATTCATAAAAAACGGGTCCAAAGTTTTGAAGTCTCAATCGTGTTTCTTTAATCAGCTCACATATTGACAATTCGATTCAATTCGGAGTCCCTATATTGTGCGGTTTGGTCGTGACGTGGTGAACAATGTGAGACTGTCTCTCGGATTTTCCGAATTCCGGATAGAAATCTTCGGGAGATTTTTACACAAAGAGCACGAATTGAAGGCGATTTTATTTTTCAGTTATTAGGCGAAACACGTCGAAAGAAAAAAAACACCATAAAGG